AAAAGCCAAAAGCAGACACCACTTGAAACCATGGCCACCGGCGGGATGGGGACGTGTGGCCTCGTTCACAGGGAGCCTGCCGGAGCTGACAGCAGCCTCATCAGGGTGTCGGGAATCCGGGCTGCAGCCTGGAATGGGCCTTTCAGTCCTGGGGTGGGGCCACCTGTGATGAGCAGGGACAGATGGCCCTGGGAGGGCCTGTCCAGGAAGTAAAACCCTTGCAGGAATTTCTGACCATGCATGGCCTTATCTTGATTTTTATTCAAAACTAAAAGATGCCGCCAAATATGGAAGCTGCTGAGGGAGCTGGCACCCCCTTCCACCTCTCTTGTCTCTGTTTCGACCTGTCCCAAGACCTGCTCCTCCTTCACCCAAAACAAGCCTGACCGCACAGGCCCAGCTGCACAGCCGGGTCTCCGAGGCTCGCACGAGGGGCCTGGCACAGGTGCTCCTTGCTCAGGGCCAGGGCAGCGCAAGGGTGGCCAGCGGGCCTGCGGGCATGGGGAACACACCCTGCTGTGCCCCGGGGGCAGGGCGAGGGCCAGGGCAGCGCAAGGGTGGCCAGCGGGCCTGCGGGCATGGAGGCAGCCCTCCTGGCGTGGGCACCAGGGCAGCTGGGGATGCTGCAGCCTGCCCCCACTCACCACACCTGACAGCCCCCGAGGCCATGAGCTCGGCAGGCAGATGCCCTATGAGCACTGTGAGGGAGAGTCTGAGAGACCAGGTGCCCCTGCAGGCCCTGGGCCTGCCCCTTGTCTCCCCTTGCTTCACAAGCTGTATCCAGCTAGGCTCTTTGTCTTGTACCCCTGGGTCTTTGGAGGTGCTGGTCTTTCTGCTAGAAATGCTGTCCTCTCGCGCCCGTGCCCTGCTGACCAACTCATGCTCGTGTCAGGCTGAGCTCGGGGCGTGGCTGGTGGAGGATGCCTTCCCAGACGCCCGGATCCTGGAGGGGCCTTCGCCTGGTCCTGCCACCTCGCCTCTGACCCGCCCTCTCGGAGAGCTTTCCACTCAGGACTTTCTAATACCTTTGTCTTCCTCCCCGGCTGGACGAGCCCAAGGGTTCACCAGGCTACTCCCAGGGCCAGCATGATGCCTGGCGTATATTGCTAAAAAGATTTCGTACTATGGCCCTGGCTGGGTCACTCAGTTAGTTGGAATGTTGTCCATACACCAGAAGGTCACAGGTTCGATTCCCAGTTAGGGCACATACCTAGGTTGTAGGTTCGATCCCTGGTTGAGGCATGTGGAGATCAAAGTATCTCTCTTGCATCAATGTTCCTCTCTCTCTCCCTCTCCCTCTCCACCTTCCTCTCTCTTTAAAATCAGTTAAAAATTGTAATATGAACAGATACATATAAAAATAGACAATTGGATGGGCAGAGATGTGGATATGTGACGGATGAAAGGGTGGGTGGGTGGACTCCTCACTTGCTTGGTAGGCATCAGGGACAACTTGGGTGCCACCAACACAAAGCACCCGCCAGTGATCAGGGTCTCTGGGCTGCGGGCAGCGGCCTTAGAGACCGTCACAGGCCTCTGGGTCTGGGTGGCACTTGGGCCCCTGGAGAAGCTGGAGAGAGCAGCTCTGGGGGAGAAATGGAGAACAGGGGGAGGCAGCGTCCTGCCTTGGCCTTGGCCAGAGCGAGCTGTCTGCACCCGGGGAGGAGGATTGGGGGGGGGGGGGTTGGGAATGGCTTGGGGAGAAGAAGCAGAGAACAGTGCTACTGGGCTCCAGGTGGTGATGGAGAAGGGGTGTCACCTCAGCCCCGGGGTCCCAAGCCTGGGCTTCCTTCACTCTTTCTCAGCCACTCACCCAGCAGGAGGTGCCCTTGGGCAGCTGGGCGAAGGCCGAGGGCAGACAGACGCAGGTTCTTCTGGGAGGAGCGTGCTGTGGCTGGAGCTGCAGCAGGGCCCCTCTGAGGGAGGCGTGTGGTGACCCAGCACGTACCTGCCCCTTGCTGGCAGAGCTGGGTGTCCAGGAGCACAGATAAGACACCCGAGAGGCAGGGCTGGAAAGGGAGACATCCGGTGCTCACCAGCGCCTGGTGCCAGCCTTCCTGGTGAGGGCCAGCCTGCCTGGGGCCAAGGAGTGGGGAGGGCGGGACACTCCAACCGAAGGGAACTCTGGCCTCTTTGAGCTCCCTCTGCCTACACATCAGGAGACTGAGGCTGATTTGCCCAAAGTCATACAGAAAGCTGGGTCAGAACCATCCAGAGCGCCTGGTTCCACACAGAGCAGCTGGGCTATTTTCTTCCCACTCTGCAGCAAGTGACTGAGATACAGCAAGACCCCAGGCTTGCATCGCAGCGACATGACTTTGCCCCCAAGGAACCTACACAAGGTAGCGATGAAGCGCCGGGGGCTGGGAGCCTGGCTGCCTGGGTGCAGGTTCCAGGGCCGCCATCAACAGCTGTGTGACCTGGGACAAGTGCTCCAACCTCAGTTTCCTCGTCTGGAACACAGTACCCCCCTCACAGGTTGTGTTGTTGAGGGCGAGTTCAGTACATGCTTGGAACAGCACCTGTGGGCAAGAGCATGTGACACGTGTTTGCATATGGGAGTGAGTGTGAACTCATGTGTAAGCATGAGTGTGTGGGCCTCGGTGCACAGTGTTTGTGTTTGAGAGTGCTAGTGAGCAAGCACATGAGTGTGTGCATGTGTGTACAGTTGTGAGTCTAAGTGCAGGTGTGTGTGAACCTATACACACATGTGCATGAGTGTTTGGGGTGCACAGAGACGAGAGAGTAGTCAAGTTGTGTGTGTACACAGTGTGGGGAAGTGCGAGTTTTTTCACCTTGAAGTGTGAACTGACAGCCCCCGAGGCCATGAGCTCGGCAGGCCATGAGCTCATGTGAACTTATATGGAAGGTCATGAGTAAGTGTGTGTGCCTGTATCAGGGGACTCAGAAGCCTCCCCAAACGAGGTCCCAGACTTCCGAAGCTGATTTTTCCAAAAGTGACGTCACCTCCTCACCTCCTTCCAGCCCAGAAGCTGAAGCCAGAGCTCAGGAGGTCAGCGGCCTGAGCTGGGCCACCGAGATCCTGGTCCTATAGGGAGGGAGGAGCCTGATGTGTGTTGGGTGAATGAAGGGACAAATGGATAAAATAATAAATGAGACTTTCTCCAAGGCCTGAAATTCACTGCATCCCCACAGCTCAAGCTCCTGAAATCCAGGACCATCCTCCTGCCCTGGCCCCTCCTTGTCGATTCTGGTCTCACTTAAGTCCTCTCTCAGCCCCCAGCTGCACCCCAGGGGCCTGTCTGCCTTGCAGGACCCGGCCTGGCTCAGGGTGGCCTTTCCTGCTCCTCTGAGTCCCTGGGGTAGGTCACCCATGGAGGGCCTGCGTGGAGTCTTCCCCCTAGTCAGAAAACAAGGAGCTTCCTTTCTTGGCAGACAGTGGTCCCTGTGTGGTGCGCGGGGCCAGCCTCGTCTCCTGTGCAGGGCTCACGGACCGGGCTCAGGACACCGCACGGGCCTGGCCCTTCGACCCTCAGGAAGTACCCTCCACATCAGAGCGAACACGGCAGAACAAGTTGCCCACAGCCCACATGCAACTGAACTTTTGTACCATGAATTTTTAAAAGAGGATTTAAATAATCTTTACAATGTTGACTTTGATAACCAATTACTTAGTATTGTGTATAAATACTTAACAGCTATTTTCTGTTTTGGTCACCCTGCCATTCCAGAACCTCACTCAGTGCGCGGCACTCAATAGGTGCTCAGTGAGCACCTGTGGCCTTGGTGGCACTCGTGATTCGGATCTGGCTTCACAGGAGGCAACTGCAGCTGAGCTCACCGATGACACATGGGGAGGGTAGCGGACACTGAATTAAGCAGGCATTAGTTTCGGTTTTGAAGTTTTCTTTTTGTAGTCTGCAGATTCATTCTCTCATCAGGTTTCAATCATCCTCAGAGACTAGAAGCACTCACAGGCCTGTGGAGCCTAGTGTATATAATGGGGCCCACCATGCCTGACCCCCACAGCCGGTACCCTGGACAAGGGGTTCTCCTTAGAGCCTCTCAACAGGAGGGCCTCTGAGAGCAAAGGGGAGGGGCCAGGCCTTCCTCCAGGAGCACGAGCGCCCCGTACGCACGGGGCTTCTCGCGCTCCGCCTGCGTCTCTGGCAGGAAGGCCTCTCGGGTGCCTAGGCCTGGGCTGGGGGCTTAACCCTGAAGCCTGGCCTCCTGCCCACCTGCAGCCCTGTCCATCTAAACTGGATGTTAGTGGCTTCTCAGTCCCCCTTCCACACGCCCACCCCATCCACTGGGAGCCCCTTCCCACCCCCATTCATTTCCCCAAATCTTAGGAGGAGACTTGCCTGTTTGCCAAACCGGTGACAAAAGGAAATGACTGACAAGGCGGACCTCGGCGTGGAGGCTGGGAGGGGCAGGGCCCAGGAGCCAAGGGCGGAGGTCCCGGAGACCCTGCCCAGCAGGAAGGATGGAGGGCTGTGAGCTGTGGCAGGTTGTCCGCATAGCAGCCAGAGTGACCAGGCCCGGCTTCTTGGGTGTGTGACCAGTGCAGTCACTCGGGACCAGTCTGCAGAAGGCTGAGCCTGGGAGGCAGTACTCTGCGGTTGCCATCTGGAAATAACTCATCATTTGAGCTTTGAGTTTGTATTTTGAAAGTGAAGTCTGATGGGAAAACGGAGCATGCACCCTCCCCCCCCCTCCTTATCTTTTGCCGTCTCCATGGTGACTCACCACTTTGCTTGCCTGCATCCCAGCCTCTGCCAGAGATTCTGAGCCTGGCTGTCCCTCCTCCAGAGCCCTGGTTCCTGCAGTCCTGTCTCCTCCCCCTGGGTGATTCCAGAGGCAGCCTCCTCTTTCCCGACTGTCACATCTATTTTTCAGCTCTGGTGAGCAGGCTCCTCTGGGGAGACCATCCCCCACACCCTCCACCTGCCACAGCTCACAGCCCTCCATCCTTCCTGCTGGGCAGGGTCTCCCGGACCTCCGCCCTTGGCTCCTGGGCCCTGCCCCTCCCAGCCTCCATGCCGAGGTCCGCCTTGTCAGTCATTTCCTTTTGTCACCGGTTTGGCAAACAGGCAAGTCTCCTCCTAAGATTTGGGGAAATGAATGGGGGTGGGAAGGGGCTCCCAGTGGATGGGGTGGGCGTGTGGAAGGGGGACTGAGAAGCCACTAACATCCAGGATGAAGATAGGAATCTACATTCTTTTCTAAATAACATTTTTCATTTTTGTTGTTATTCCCTCCAACCCCCCAATTTTCTCTCCAAGGAGAAAAAACAGAGCTTCATGGGAAACAGCAGCCACAGGTGGTAAGCGGCGGGGCCTGCTTGGAGGACTGGCGCAGGGGGCCTCGAGGTCGGCTGGTCCCGGGGAGGGAGCTCGGGCTGGATCTGCCAGGATCGGGTGTGGGTGGGAGGGGGTGTTGAAGGGTGGCCCGAGTGGGAGAGTGGAATCTGAGAACCAGAGCCTCTGCCCCACCACCAGGGGGCTCTACCCTCTCCTTACAGCCCCGCCTCCGGGTGTGTTTAAGCTGCTGTAGGAGCTTGCAGAAGGGGTCACTCCTTAGGCGGTCCAGCTGAGTTGAGTCAGTGACTCCTTGGAGGAGCCCTGGCAGCAGGAGGCCCTGGGTGAGGATTTTCACGAGCGTCTGTGCCCGGCACGCGCCATCTCGTCCGATCGCTCCGAGGCCCCAGAGGCAGCACTGCTCGCCTCTCCTGGACAGTTCGGAGCTGGCGCGGATGGGGGAGAAACTGGCCCACCGGTGTACTTGGCAGTAGGGCAGAGCTGCGATTCATCCATCCCAGGCTGTTTCTCACCCTGGACCACTCTGGCCCTGCTCCGCTGCTCCCACTCCGGTCCCCAGGTTCTGTGATGCCAGCCAGTGAGGAAAGGGCAGAGCCTGCCCCAACTCCCTGGCCTGCGCACCCTGCACCACACATGCTGCTCTCAAATGACCCGTTCTGCCCCCAGGTCCCACACACCATTCCCCAAGTTGGAGCTGGGCCTGGGGGCGCGGCCCGCGGCGCCTCGGGAGCTGCCGCTCTGCTCCATCTGCCTGGAGAGGCTGCGCGAGCCGGTGCCGCTGGACTGCGGCCACGACGCGTGCCCTCGCTGCTTCAGCGCGCACCGCCTCCCCGGCGGCGAGCAGCCCCGCTGCCCCGAGTGCCACGGGGCTCGCAAGCGGGACAGGGGCCTCCGCAGGCTGGAGGAGAAGATGAAGCTCCTGCTGCAGAGGCCACCACCCTCTGTCGTGCAGGTCTGGGACCAGACCTCATCTAGGCGGAGCGGGGGTGGGGCCATGGAGAAACCCGGTCCAATCCCAGAGGGGTGTGTAGCTCTGGTCCTATTCTAGGATGTCAGGGAGAGACGTGGAGTTTGGGTTGGACACACTGCAGACTTGGGGTCCGGCTCCCGCAGCCTGGATGCTAAAGGACTCCTGGTTCTCCCGGCGCAGGAGACCTGCGCTATGAGGACGGAACCCCAGCTGCTGGTGCGCATCAGTGCCTCCGGGGGCCTCATCCTGAGGATGGGGGCCATCAACCGCTGCCTGAAGCACCCCCTGGCCAGGGACACCCCTGTCTGCCTCCTTGCTGTGCTGGGGGAGCAGCACTCAGGGAAGACTTTCCTCCTCAACTCCTTGCTCCAGGGGCTGCCAGGCCTGGTGAGGGCGGGCGTGGGTGAGGGGCTGCGGCTGGTGAGGGTGAGCGTGGGTGAGGGGCTGCCAGCCCTGGTGAGGGTGGGCGTGGGTGAGGGGCTGCCAGGCCTGGTGAGGGTGGGCGTGGGTGAGGGGCTGCCAGGCCTGGTGAGGGTGGGCGTGGGTGAGGGGCTGCGGCTGGTGAGGGTGGGCGTGGGTGAGGGGCTGCGGCTGGTGAGGGTGGGCGTGGGTGAGGGGCTGCGGCTGGTGAGGGTCCCAGCCTGGTTTGGGAGGGGAGTGGGGGTTGGCCTCATCCACTGATGTTCTCTTTTGCCCTGCAGGAGTCTAGTGAATGCTGGCAGAGAGATGGGGGCTCCCTGCAGGGGTTCGGATGGGGCGCCAACAGCCTCACCAGGGGCTTGTGGATGTGGAACCACCCCTTCCTGCTGGGGAAGGAAGGGAGGAAGGTGAGGGGGATTGGCAGAGGAAGTCAAGATTGGGTCAGGGAGGGGAAGGGAAGACAGAGCAGATGGCAAGGGGAGAAGAAGGGAGAGGGACGCTCTGGCCAGAGGTTCTGAGGCAGGCTTGACCCCTCGTGTGTCTGCTGCCGCTGCACAGGTGGCTGTGTTCCTGGTGGACACGGGGGACGCCATGAGCCCTGAACTGAGCAGAGAAACAAGGACCAAACTCTGTGCCCTCATCATGATGCTGAGCTCTTACCAGGTGAGGGCACTGTGACCAGGTGGCCTGCTCCAGCTCCTGAGCGTTGCAGCTGGGGCTGGCCTTCAGAGTGCAGGGGGCTCTTGTGGCCCGGATATCTGCAGATTCTGGGGGTGCCCCTGCAAGGGAAGGATGCTCCCAGAAGGTGGGAACGTCGTTTGTTCTGAAGGTGGGTTAAAGGTCCCTTGTGGGGGCAGGTGAAGTTCTGCAGGATCACCCCCTGCCTGCCTTCTGTCTCTCACAGCTGCTGCTCTGCAGGCTGTAGGGACCCCTGGGCTGGGCCCCTTCCCCACTGGGATCTTCCCAGATCTCTTTGCCTTCGCAGACCCCCTTCCCTTTGTTCTCCTTGTTCCAGATCCTCAACACCTCCCAGGAGCTGAAGGATACAGACCTAGAATATCTGGAGGTGAGGAGATATCGGGTATAGGGATGCCACCCCATCTCTGCCCTGACCATGAGGCTAGAGGGCTGGACTCGTGGGAATCAGATGCCTTCCCGTTCTGGCCCAGGATTCCATGGCCTGGAGCTGGGTTGGTGGGGTTCAGAGACCTGGCTGGAGGGAGGCTGGAGAGGCCTGGAGCTGAGAGCTAGGAGCGTGGCTTGTACTGTGGGCCCAGTGGGGAAGGGAGGCATAGACCCTGGAGTGACACAGATGTGACCCTCATTGTCCCGCCTCTAGATGTTTGTCCACGTGGCTGAGGTGATGGGCAGGCATTATGGGATGGTGCCAATCCAGGTGAGATACCCATTTCTGGACTTGTCACTCAGACCCAGACACCCCCTGGCTGCTGGTGTCAGCACCTCTTTTCTTCTAGCACCTGGATCTCCTAGTCTGTGACTCATTCCATCCCAACAAGGCAGGGCAGGGGCACGTGGGTGATGTCATCCAGGTGAGTGTGCAGAGGGAGGGCGTGCAGGGGCGGTGGACAGGTGGAGGCGAGGGTCCCTGCAGGTAAACGAGGCATGGGGCTGGACCCGTAGCTCAGAGTTCTCCCCATTCATCTCTCAGAAATCTGGCAAATACCCCAGGGTCCGGGAGCTGCTACAAGGGAGGCAGGCTCGCTGCTATCTCCTGCCTGCTCTGAGGAGACCATGGGCCAGCAGAGACCACGCAGGCCGAGGCCGTGAGTGTCCTTCCCAGCTTTCCCTCCTCAGGGACCAATGGTTCTCACACGAGCCTCTGACACCCTCCCTCCTCCTCAAGCCCAGTCCTCCTCAGCCCCGTGTCCTCAGCATGAGAAATCTCTTCTGACACAGATGATGATTTCTGCCATCTACGAACCTACGTTGCCGACGTACTAAGCGCTGCCCCCCAGCATGCCAAGAGCCGTTGCCAGGGGTACTGGAGTGAGGGACGCCCGGTGCCCAGGGGGGACAGACGCCTGCTCACAGGGCAGCAGTTAGCTCAGGAAATCAAGGTGTGAAAACTGTCCAGAGACCCCGGAGAGCCCGCTGGCCCTGCCCTCCTTGACCCCTTTGCTGATGTTTCCACAGAACCTCTCGGGCTGGATGGGAAGGACAGGGCCGGGCTGCGCCTCTCCGGATGAGGTACAGGGCTCCCCAGGAAGGTCCAGGGGTGGAGGGGGGCGAGCGGGTGCACCCTGGGACCCAGGAGGAAGGAGGGAGGCAGCCTGGGTTTTCCTCTGGACAGATGGCCGCCCAGCTGCATGACCTGAGGATGGTGGAAGCTGCCAAGAAGGAGTTTAAGGAGTATGTGCGGCAGCAGGTGAGTCCCCAGGCCTGCATGGGGCCAGGTATTCTGCCAGGTGGGGCCCGTAGCGGGGGAGGGCGCCCGAGTCTCCTGGTCAGGGCATCCTATTTCTCCTCCCGGCATAGGATGTGGCCACCAAGCGCATATTCTCTGCGCTCCGGGTCCTGCCAGACAAAATGCGGAACCTCCTGTCTGCTCAGAAAGACGCCGTCCTGGCTCGCCACGGGGCGGCCTTGCTGTGCCAGGGGAGAGAGCAGGCCCTGGAAGCCCTGGAGGCCGAGCTGCAGGCCGAGGCCAAGGCCTTCATGGACACCTACACCATGCGCTTCTGTGGCCACTTGGCCGCCGTGGGGGGTGCCGTGGGCGCCGGGCTCATGGGCCTGGCCGGGGGTGTGGTAGGGGCGGGCATGGCTGCAGCTGCACTGGCTGCGGAGGCTGGGATGGTGGCCGCTGGGGCTGCGGTGGGGGCCACGGGGGCTGCTGTGGTCGGGGGTGGCGTGGGTGCTGGCTTGGCTGCCACCATGGGCTGCATGGAGAAGGAGGAGGATGACAGGGTGCAGGAAGGGGACCGAGAGCCCCTACTCCAGGAAGAGTAACAGCCCCCAGGAAACAGGAAAGGGAAGGAAGAGAGGAAAGGAAGTGGGGGAGGGGTGATGTTCCAAGAACCCCCATGTCCCACACTGCCCTGGTTGAATGCGCAGTGTCTGGCTGGCTGGCTGGCTGAGCTGAAGAATCCAGGTGGCCCCAGGAACCTGGGAAGGGTGCCAGGGGCCAGGGGGCAGTATTTAGGGTGGTAGAGTATACAGCCTGGTTTGGGCTGCAGACAGTTACTAACTTGCCATGGACCCCAATGAACTTGCCCACAGTGTCCAGCAAGAGCGAGGCCCCGCCCTCTCTGCCCTGGCTTGTCCCCAGCACTGCAGGAAGGCTGAGCACTCTGGGAGTCTCCCTGGGGTGAGCGGCCTGTCCTCTCACAGATGGGGGCAAGCCCAGGTTGACTGACCCTGGTGTTCAGGGTTGGGGATCACTAATGAGGGGCTGGGGAGGGAGAGCAGGGGCCACTGGACAAAACCAAAGACTGCGTGTGGTGGACAGTGGCCTCCTGGGGCGGAGAAGCTTGTCCCTGCGACTCTTCCCAGTGCTGTCCCAGCAGGACAGAGGTGGTGACCCTCCTCCCGAAACCCCAGGGGGTCTGCCTGTGGGTTGGAAGAGGTCTCGTGGCTGTGCCCTTTGTCACACCTGCTGAGCGCCTGTGTTTTGTGGCATGCCATCCCAGCGATGGCTCCGTGCCCACGGAAAACACCTGCGATTGCATCCTGAGCTGAGAGCCTGGGGCAGTCTGAAGGCCCCGGGAGCACCACGAGGGAGCGTGCTGTCCTCCACGCCACCCTCGCCCGCGAGAAGACCACTCTGCTCGGTGTCAGTAGGAGGCCTGGCTGCAGCTCCCAGGGGCCTGAGGGCCAGTGCCCCTCCCAGGGGGCCGGGAAGGTCCTACCAGGAAGACTTCTAGGCTATTGAACTGTAAAGAGTTAATGGGCACATTATACGAAAAATAAAACGTGTGTACTTGAATGTTAGCTTCCGAGTAAATTATTGAAACAGTTTTGAATTCAGCCCCAGAGGGCTATGGGGCAGGAGGAGGTGAACCAAGACGCTCCATTATGGGGACTCATGGATGGGAAGAGGGAAAGGGAAATAAGAGATCTGGGAGCTGAGCGTCCAAGGTCTCCATTTGGGGGATTGTAGAAGGGCTCAGGCCAAAGGCCAAGGGCATTGCTACCTTTGCAAGCTTGTCTACTAGGACCTGGGGCCCAGCTCCCTGGGTCTCCCCTCTTCGGATGGCCCTGTGGTCACCTGGCACGTGTCCTGGCAGGAGGAGAGAATGGAGACTTAGATGGGAAGTCCTTGCTAAGGCTGTGGAGAGAGCAGCAGCCCAGGACCGCTTCTGTGGGGCCAGCCAGCTAAGGGTTCACCTGTGGCTGCTTCTCCCAGACCCAGGCCTCGGTCTCAGCTTTACAGCAGTGGCCATGGTGTCCCAACCCTGCCTTTTCCAGATGCACACACAGAGAGAGGAAATCTCAGCCAAGGCTCCCCAGCTGGCGGACAGCAAAAGCCGGGGAGCCCCGAACTGATGCCCCCAGCTGGTGTTCCTCCGCAAACGCTGGGTGTTAGAGTCGGCTGTGCTTCCGCCGAGATGCTCCCTTTTGGAGATCTCTCACTCACGCTCCAATCCAGTCCGGCTCTAAGGAGCAGAGTTGGGGCACAGAGGTGTTGGTCTGGTATACATGCTCAACAGAAGTGGCAGCTCGTGAGGTGAGGACAAAATAATGATGCAGAGAGAGGACAGGTGGGGTGAGGACGAAGGGCCGAGGGTGACTCACTTCTGAGGACTGAGCCAGAGGTGGGGACAGGGTCCACATTCTGTGAGGTAGTTGTTGAAAAGGCTTCCTGAAAGCATCTCCTCGGATCCTTCCATCATCAGCTGGTGGACACAAGCGCTACAGAACCTCCCAGACTTTGGGGCTGGCAGGTTTAGGACTTGGGGGAGGGGCAGTAAGAGAAGCCACCAAGGCAGGGTGTTGTCTAGCTGGAGTCTCCCCCAGGGGCGTTGGAAGGAACCACTTCTCTGCTCTTCGCACAGCCGGGCACACCCTGGGTAGCGTTCTGCAGAGGCACGATCAGTTGTATGAAGTGGTATTTGTCTCGTGCCTGAGAGCTTTCAAAGCATTGTCCCAAACATCGTATTTCCTAAGCCTCAAAACCATCTCATGCAGTACTTATTTTTACAGAAGCTTAGAAAAGTGATGTGTGTCAGTTGAAACAACTAGTCCGAGATAAGCCAGGACTTAGACCCAAGATTTTGGTGCCAAATTCCTTGCTCAGGTGAGCTATCACCCCATGAGTCTATCCAGACTCCAAGACCAGGCCTCTGGGTCCCAACCCAATCAGGATGATCCCTGGTTCCCAATATTAACTCGTAATTCACAAGGGCCTAAGCGACTGTGTCCAAGGTCTCGGCCGCATGCTGAGGTCTGGCTGGTTTCTCTCTGCGACCTGTTGAAGGTCACTGCAAGGTACTCCGAGCTCCTCATGTGGCAGGTTTCTGGGTAAGAGCTCCTGTGACTGGCGTTCAGCCCCGGCTTCGCAGGCTCCCCATGCTGAAGGTGTCGGCGCCGCTGTGGACTGAATGTGTGTGTCTCCCTCAAATTCGTGTGGAAATCCGAATCCTCGATATGATAGAATTAGGCAGTGAGGCCTTTGGGGGTGATTAGGTCATGACACCGGAGCCCTCGTGAATGGGATTAGTGCTTTTATAAAAGACCCAGAGAACCTTAGACCCTTCCACCATGTAAGGCCATGGCCGTGCCAGGAAGGGGGAAGTTCAACCTCCGCTCAGCAAAGAAAGAATTCCAAGCCAGGAACTCAAATTATAGAAGAAAGTTCACTTAGAAAGTTATAGAGGTAGTCCTGGCCGGTTTGGCTCAGCGGTTAGAGCGTCGGCCTGCGGTCCGGAGACACCCGGGTTCGGTTCCCGCTAAGGGCATGTACTTCGGTTGCAGTTTGTCCCCCGCCCTGGTTGGTCGTGCGGGTGGCAGCCACTCGATGTGTCCCTTCACGTCGATGTTTCTGTCTCTCTCTCCCTTCCTCTCTCTCCCTCCCACTCTATCTGTACAACAAAACGGAAAAATATCCTCGGGTGAGGATAAAAAAAGAAAGAAAGAAAGAAAGAAAGTTATAGAGGTAGTAGAAGTGAGCCAGCTGGGCTGTCTGGGCTCAGGAAACAAGTTACAGAAGAAAAAGAAGGGCCCTTGGAGCTCAGGAGAAGGAAAGGAGAGGTAAGGAGCCTGGGGGAGAAGAGGGGAGGGATCGGAGCGGTGTGCTCCTGGGAGGGAGAGTACACTGGGCCCTTTGTCTTGAGGATTTATTTTTCTCCTGGATGCACTGTCTTGAGAGTTTTAAAGGCTAGGCATTTAGGAGAGGTCTTGGGGAGGATCTCAATAGAATAGTCATCAGCTTTATGCTGATGTGCCAAAACCAGATTTATTCCCTTAACTTGATCTGTCCGTGGGTGTGGTTGGCACACGTTGCGCTGAGTGGAGTTCTGCTGTCTGTCTGCCCAGTAGGTGATTTCAGTTACTTACCCTCCGGCTGCGGAGGAGAGGGCAGACCATTTCAGTGTCCTCGCTCAGGGAAGATTGGATTTTGCGATTTACTAGATGTCTGTGAACTGCCTGGTCATTTAACTCTGTCTCAGTTTCCCTGTTCCACATGTCCTGGTTTACTGGCCTGTCTCATTTCCACTTTAACCTCTTGTCTGGCTTGAGTCTTGAATTCTTTCTTGCTTGAAGTCAAGAATCATCTTGGCTTCGGGCTTGAGTCCCCACCAGGGATACCCCTCTGGCCTCACCCTGGCCTGCCTTCAGCAAGACCCCAGTTAGGTGGGTTTAGCCAGAATCTCCCCTCACTCCTGATGTTTCTTCTTAGCAAGTTTTCATTCACTGACCCCCTTCACCCTGCTCCTTGGTTATAAATTCCCACTTTTCCTTGTTGTATTTGGAGTTGAGCCCAATGCCTTCACCCACAGCAAGACCACATCGCACTGGCCCTGCATCTGTCATCATGGTCCTGGATAAAATCTGCCTATGATTGTTTAACAGGTCTCACAAATAATTTTTTCTTTAACAGTATTGAAATGCATATTCGTTACTTTCACTTTAGTGTTATAAAAATTAACACATGAAGTTGGTCCTGTGGAAGCCTAGACTAGACCACTCCAAAATGTGCCTCTGTGGTATGCACATTACCTTGAACTAAAGGCAATTTTAGCTTCATGCTCAAGAGAAACTTCTGCTCCCCCTTAAATACCTAGAAGAATTTGAATTAAAGGCATTGCTCATAAGAAATTATCAGCGGTAACTTCTTTTGGCCTTTCTTTGGAGCAGGGCAAACCTTTGTTTACTAAATGTCTGTTCTTCCTATTATTCTGCAAAGACCTTTTGAAGTCCCCAAGCACTTACCTTATCCTTAGCTCAGGATGTCTTATATACCTGATCCCCTTTCCATATCTGAATTTCTCATTTATGTGGAATCTCTCACCCTCTCGCAGGGGGTTCCCATGTGCATGAAATTAAATTTGATTTTCATCTGTTAATTTGTCTTCTGTTGATTTGGTTATTAGGTCAGCCCGGTGAATTTCAACTGGTGTGCTGCAAGAATTTTTCAAACATGTAACACCTGACTGATCAGGAGCACTGACCTCTTTTCCCTTAGATTGTCCGATAAAAAAAATGACAACAGCCAACACAACAATAGCTGTCTAGTGTGAATAAATCAAAATTATACCTACTTTTTTTGTCAGATTGGCAAAAAATATATTTGTGTGTGTGTCACAGAATTTTAGTAATTAGTTTAAGTGTGCCATGAGATGAAAGAGGTTGAAAATCGCTGTGTTAGCCAAAAAGAACCAGAGGAAGGAAAGAGAATTCATTTTCCCTCCCCCATAGTCCTAACTTTACCTTGCCGTTAACTGGATTGTTAGACTTGTATGTCCAGACTATATCTAACCTGGAAATACAATATAGCTCTGATCAGAAATATATATTTGTGGAGACCATTATGAAAGAAATAGCAGTGTTACAAATAATATTTATTTCTAGTAAATTCTGAATCTTAAAGTAATTGAGATAATCAATCCTGTGAATAGGACAGCAGGGCTGGTTATGATAATAATAATTACACTACAAAAGCTCTTTTCAGTAGAGTTCAATGCTGATATTAGTGATTCTAGTAAACTTCAATTGCAAGTCCTTGTGGG